CTTTTCTAGAGTTGGCTGTAGATGTTGCTTCGCTTGGTTTGCCATCAGATGCTGACTTTCAACAGGTGATAAATGGGTTGAGGCCACGTTGCTGGTCTCCTCCAGGCAGTCCCACGAGTGTTTTGCAAGCTTCTAATTCAACTTTTCATTTGCTGAGTGATTTGGGTGAAATGGATGAGGTCAGGCTGCAGGCAGCTCTAGTTAAGGGTGGAAAGAAGAAAGGGCCAAAGCCCTTGTCTCCATGAATATCCTATTCTGGAACGTTAGGGGGTTCAACAGACCTCCTAAAAGAAGGGACTTTCTGAGAGTCCTTAGTAAGTTGAAGGTTGATGTGGTGGTTGTATTGGAAACTAGAGTTCAGAAAGCAAAGGCTGAGTGAGGGATTAAGTCAACTACCGATTGCCTAAACCGAGAGGGTCGAGTGACACGGCCTATAATGTTTACCTCGGTTTAGCAATTGAGATTGTGGTCTCCGACCATATATGCATCCCTCTGCGGTTCGCGGTTACCTTGCCTAAAGCAATCATTCCAATTCACATACCATGGTAGTAGTTAGGGGGAAGCGACACCCGAGTGATCCTTCCACAAAATAGTTTTCAAAACTATTTACCTTTGCCTTATTTTATTGTAATGCAAACTTTTAAACCAAAAATTTGTTGCTAGATAATTATTAAAATGACTGAAGTAGGGATAGACAGACCGACCTGGGTTAATATTTAAACATACTTATCCTATACTGCACCCGACTAAGGTTTATACTTGGACCTTAGGTGAGAATTTATTGTGGTATTCGGAGTGAGTCAACAACCTCCACCACTTCTCAATTTTCATATCCAAGCTCCCTCCTCCCCATCTCTCGATCTTCCTTCCTTCGACACCATCTTCTTCTCCGGCATCTGCAAGTCCAGCTCCGTCGCCAACAAAATATCCCACACTTGATTCTCTCGGCATACACGCCTCCTCCCTTAATCCCTTCATTGCCCTCTCCTCCCTCTTATCTGGTGGAGGGTTTGGTAGACCAATCAGCAGAGCGGCGGTGGTGGATGGTTTTCAATCGGCGGAGGCATCGAAATCTAAGCTATGTCACCAATCTAGCTCCTGCTCCAACTTGAGAATGGAAAGTTTAAGCGGCGGGAAGGTAAGGCGAGGCAAACAAGAATCCCACCAAGAGAGCCGAGGCGGAGGCCAAGTTCAAACTGATTTTCGAGACCTACGACGTCCTCAGCGAGGAAGCTCTGAAATAGGGGCTTTTCCCCAACCTTCCTCTACCTCTCCTTCCACCAGTGGCGGATCCAGGGCTTGGCCAACCCAGGCCCCGGCCCAGCCCTCCTCCGGATCCAGAGTTAGTTTAGTGCTTATAAAATTTTTAGATTTAGGTATTTGGCCCAGTGCTATTTAAATTTTGTCTAGTTTTATTTGATAATAGGATTTTGTGTAACTAGAAAAATGGTTCAGATGAACATATCCAAACCATTACTCTAAATTTATTCTAAATTTTCTATAGCCCCAATGATTTTATTTGAAAAATGACATGAAAACCTAAAAGTGTAAAGTTTCATTAAAAAAAACTCTAAACTAAAGCACACCCTTCCTTGCAAAATTCAAAAAATTTCCCAATCCCCCCAAAACAAAACAAGAACGAGGAGACGAGCAGACCCAAAATGGATTTCTCTGCCAGCCCGTCGAGCTGGTTTTCTTTCCATTCTTTTGATTAAGAAAATATTTACAAACTTGCTGAGTCATCATATAGATTGCCTCAATTGAGTGGGGCACTAGATTCTAACCGTTCTTTCTGGTGTTTTGATGAAGAAAATATTTACAAACTTGCTCAAGAGTTTAGCCTCGAGACTTTGAATGCTATGAGATTCAGTCTTTGGAGAATGCACTACTCATGTGAGGAAGATGAAGTTTCTTCTCTTGCAAAATTATTAGAGAAGCCGGAGAAAATAGGGATAGACACATAATACAAATTGATTTGTCGGTTGATTTGTCTACTGTTGATCTAGCCGTTTCAACAACTACAATGAAGAGAATATTTTCAGCAATGAAACATGAACATTGATTTGTGCAACAAAATGAGCAATGAATTTCTCGTTGATTACTTAGCTATTTTCTTTGAAAAAGAGTATATTATCAGTATGGATGAAGATTATATTATTGATGAATTTGATAAATTAAAAGACATTCTTGTATGATTGGCGTTGTAATGAAAACTATATTATTATATATTTTTGTTTATGGTATCTAATATTCTATTCAACTACGGCCCAGTGCTCTCTTATGTCCGGGATCCGCCGCTGCCTTCCACCTCTGCCGCACCAAATTGCCATTATTATCTGCATCAGCACCCAATCATACCTTCAGGTTCAAGTCCAGGACCGTGGCCGATATTTATGAGGATGGGGCTGGTAGTGGCGAACCGATTGGAGGAGGGACGAGGCATCGGTTGCAGCGGTAACCGATTGTTGATTTGCAAGAGGGAAGGTTTCGTCGATGCCCTTATAGAGGAAATCGATGGAGGAAGGCACAAAGGCGACACAAAACGCCAAAGAGGAGGAGGAAATAGATGGAGTTAGCTTGGCAATGATGTTGAGGCAGAGGGAGGTCTCGTTCTTCCCAACTGGGGATTGAGTGCGCTCTTGCTTCTCGTATGTGGGTCAATGTTTCTATGTTTTTTGCTTGAATATTGTTTTCTTCTTAGCAAACGTTTCGATTGTTGGACAGGGGAGCAGATCGGGTGAGTAACTAATGGGTGAGTAACCCATCAGTAACCCCTCTCTCCTCTCTCCACGTGTCAGTTACTTTTTTATTTAAATTAAATGCTAAAGGGCAGTAAGGTAAAATGCACTTATCCCATATTTATTGCTGACGCGCTGACTTTTGACCGACCACATCAGGATCTCCTTCTCTCTCATCGAAAAACCTTTAATTTTCCTTCTCTTAATTTTTAACGGACGATTTCTCACTCGTTTTAAGTCGAAATTTAATTTTTTTTGCACAGTTAGATCAGATTAATTATGCTCTTCAAAATGATATCCGCTTTGATATTTTTTTGACACAAATTTTTTTTCCAGTTATGACCAGTCTATACCATATGGTCTAGTGTGGTAATATCAATATATATTTCGTTACCACCCAATACCATATGGTATAGTGTGGTAATATCAATATATATTTCGTTACCACCCAATACCATATGGTATAGTGTGGTAATATCACACAATACCATATGGTATAGTGTGGTAATATCACACAATACCATATGGTATAGAGTGGTAATATCAATATATATTTCGTTACCACGCAATACCATACATTACCATAGGGTATAGTGTGGTAATATCAATATATATTTCGTTACCACCCAATACCATATGGTATAGTGTGGTAATATCAATATATATTTCGTTACCACCCAATACCATATGGTATAGTGTGGTAATATCAATATATATTTCGTTACCACACAATACCATATGGTATAGTATGGTAATATCACACAATACCATATGGTATAGAGTGGTAATATCAATATATATTTCGTTACCACGCAATACCATACATTACCATAGGGTATAGTGTGGTAATATCAATATATATTTCGTTACCACCCAATACCATATGGTATAGAGCATAATATCAATATATTTTATCTAAAAGGAAAAAAAAACAGAAGGAGGGAGAGAAAAAAATCGTCTTCTGATGCCTCTCATTTCCTCTTCCTCAATCAAGAACACCAAAATGCCAAAAAAATGAGAAAGATCGGAATTGAGGCCAACGAGTTGATGAAGAGAAGAAATGCAAAGAAAGAGAGTGGCTACAATTTTTATTCGTCGATTGCTAGAGAAAAAAAATGAAGAAGGAAGAGAGCAGATCTAAATTTGAAAAGAAGATTGTGAAAGAAAAAGTAAGAGAGAAGGAATAGAGAAAGAGAAAGGATCTGGAAAGAGATTGAAAGAAAAGAAGAGAGAAAGAAGAAAGTTGAGTTGCAGAGAAAATGCATTGTCTCTCTTTCATTGAAAAGTCAGCCATTAAAATGCGGAATGAATAATAAAAATTTAAAATACAAAAACGGACAAAAATGCCCCTCCCCACCCCACATCCAGCCCAGCCACACGATTGCTCCATTCCCATTCCTACGGCTCCCGTGTGGTTACTGATGGGTCAATAACTAGTGGTTACTGAACCTATCTTGGACCTGGACAGGGGAGGAGTTTTGGAGAGTACTGTCAAAAACCAAAGATGATTTCTTTCTTTCCGGGAGTAGATTGATGGAGGAGTATGGAAGGAATAATGGTTTAAAAAAATGTGGAATTAATTTTATCCATGTCACCGATTTGTTTGAGTAAGTTGCTACGTCAAAGTCAACTATCGGGTCGATCGGATGGAAAATTGATCATTTGGCTAATAAATTATTTTTAAAAATTTTATTTTATTTAAAACGAAAAATTTGACTAATAAATTGTATTTCCTTTATGAAAAAATTTGGCACATATTTCGTCAAACCAAATGTTCAGGAGTTGTCAATTCGTTCCCTGCCTATCACTATATTACCCCAGCACACCAACAGTCCAACGTTATCATTCAGCAACCGGTCTAATCCATTGGGAACACAAACACTGCACAGCTTCAGCTTTGCCCCTTTCTCCTTTTTAGCAATCCTAGACTCCTTTTTTCTTTCTTACTAGAATCATGAAGAGAGGAATGAAGTAATGAAATGAGAGACTAGTCCGGACTCCAGTCTCCAGAGGTTTCATTGCATGGAAAGAAAAAAAACAAAAAACTACAGAGAGTGTTGCAATTGATTGATATATATATCCTACTGAGGTCTGAGGCTGGCCGACCTGAAGCGTCATCAATATATTTCTCATCAGACCAAACCAACCAGACAGGAAAATGCAACTGCAATGTTCTCAGATCACAACACTAGGAAGTGCTACCCATAACCAGAAGAGTAAAAGAAAACAATAGACGGGGGATATTAGCCCTAATAATCACTACTAAAAGAACTCGAAATCCAGATATTTACCCCCGGACTTCATCATGTCAGTCTGTTGCTGTTGTTGTTGACTTTGGCCCACCATTCTCTTACTGTTGCTACCAACCCCAACAGTGTTCACAGCACCATACTTCCCCGGTGGCAGCTCAGCCTCCATCGGTCTAGGCACTTCCGGCGGAGTGCTGCATCGTATGAGAGCCCAGTTCACGCCTTCAAAGAAAGGGTGCTGCTTGATCTCCGTCGCTCCTCTCTTCACTCCAAGCCTGTGCTGTGGTTCCTTCACCAGCAAGCCACGGATCAAATCCCGGCCTGCGTAGCTAGTTGCTGGCGCTTCCGGGAACTTCAGCTGCTGCCCGACCACATTGAACAGCGTTGCCCTGTTGCCTGACCCTTTGAATGGGGTTTTCCCATACAGCAGCTCGTGCAGGAAGATGCCAAATGTCCACCAGTCAACAGCGCTGCCATGGCCTTCACCTTTAATTATTTCAGGGGCGAGGTATTCGTGGGTGCCAACGAATGACATGGAGCGGGCAGCAGTGGGTTCTGCAACCAGCTCTGGGAGAGCACAAGAAGGCAGCCCGAGATCTGCCCTGGACTTTTGGCTTGTTTTCTTCTTGTTCTTCTGTGGGAAGAGACGAGGGATGAAGCAAGCTGGCTGAATGCAAACGGATGTGGGTTCCATGCAAGCTGCAGGCTGAACGCAGAATGCAGCACCACCGCCACGCTTTGATGGGTCCGAGTCGTTTGAAGTCCTTATCAAAGTGGGTGAAACTGTGCATCGAAGAGAGAGGTCAAAGTCTGAGAGCATAATGTGGCCGTCGTCACGAACAAGAACGTTTTCAGGTTTTAGATCCCTGTAGACTACTCCAAGCATGTGAAGATACTCCAATGCTAATAACACCTCTGCTGCATAGAATCTGCATGGCAGTACAAGGAAAGAGTACATGATAAGACAAAGTAGAAGATGATTTCTAGCAGAGATGGATCAAGCGTTGTGTTAAAAAAATCTGAAATACTTCTATTCACAGACAACATAATTTGAATATATAGTCTTCACAGCACACAATAGTGGCCCAGACATGGGAGATTATCTACTCTGCCTCGAAAAACAGATGTGATAATAAGCGATTGACGCAAGGGACAATAGTTTTAGTTGATTATCTCTGTGGGTGTCTTACACACAGCAAAATTGATGAGATGAGAGAAGATCGTAGCAGAAGTGGACTAAATTTGGCGCAACTGGTTAGAAGAGAACAAATGGTGAGTTGCCTAAACAGATTATCTTTCTTTTGGTAGAACAAACAGACTATCTTTGTTTCTTAAGCTCCGTTACTTAAAGGATCAATGTTTTTTGGCTCGGTACGTAAAGAATGACAATCTGACGATAAGAATTCCCGCGCACATTTTCTGTTACTGAACAGATCGTTAAAAGCTTTAGAATGAGAAGGCAGCAGGCAAGTGAAAAAGGAAGGAAGGACTGGAAAACCAACAGTAGAAACTCCACCAGGGGGCCGACAATCACCTAAATCTAATGCAAGATCATTTACCTGTCATTCAAGGAAATAGCACCCAACATAGGCATAGCAGAGCTTAAAGCAAATTGAAAAGAAGAACGTCTTGCTCTCTAAAAATGTGCGCTCAGAAAGAATCAAAAGAATGTACCAGCAGCACTACATGAAAAAGCAGTTCGTACCTTGCAGCATACTCAGAGAAATGCTTCCCAGGCTGGCGCTGCCTCAGAGTATGCAAATCGCCACCAGGACAGTATTCCATTACCAAACACGAGAATCTGTCAGTCTCGAAATGAGTATACAGCGTTGGTAGAAAGGGATGATCCAGAAGCTGAAGAATCTCCCTCTCCGTCTGAGCCCTGGTCAACTTCTTCCTGCTAGCAAGCGAAGCCTTGTCCATTACCTTCATCGCGAAATAACACCGGGTCCCACTGAGTTCTGACAGGTAGACGCTTCCAATGTCACCACAACCAAGCCGTTTAAGCAATCGAAAGTGGCTCATCCCCAAAATCCCATCACGAGCTCGGATTGCAAGAATAGCCTTCCACCTTGGATCATTGCCCTTGTGAGGCTTGTTCGCACTCCCGGTGATGTTGCTCCAGTTGCTGTCATCACTAAGCCCACTGCTGCTATCACTGGCTCGACTAACACTAGTCTTGCCACTCTCAAGTGAATCGCCTCTAACACTGACACTCCCTTTGGTACTCTCGTAGTGTCTGTCGATACTCAGCATGCCATCGCTCGTCATGGCATCACTTCTATATGTGCTGGCACAGCTATGAACAACGCTCATTGGACTGACATTGCCACTTGGAGGCAGAGAAGCATCCCATACGCATTCCTTCCCATCCAAATCATCAGGTGGCAAGGAAAGCAAGTCACTGGGTTCTTCATCCAAACTATCAGCTGGTGAAAGGACAGTGGAACTCGGTTTCTTAACCGGGACCCCGATTGAGAGATCTTCTATGTAAGGGCCCTTTACAGACATGCTCCTCATAAGACATCCGGTCTCAGATTTCTTCTGGCCAATGGGGACATAAACAGTTCTCATGAGATCGGTGTCGACTGGTTCTGCAGGATGACTAGCCCCAGAGAAAGAGCTAGATCCAGCTTCATCAAAGGAATCAACAATGGCATTAGACATGACAACATCAGGAATTAGCTCTTCTTGGAGGGGAACGGAGTCTTTTCCTTTCCATGGTGGCCTTACAGGGACAGGAAAACCAGTGATGTGGGGTTCTTTGGAATTGAACCTTTCCACTGCTTCTCTAACCAAACCTACCTGCAGCTGAGGCAACTGATGACCCATTTGTTTCCCTGGACCCATGCATGCACCTACTGCTACTACCTTACTCCCAGCTTTAGATTCTGCAAACCTCTGCATTCCTCCTGCTAACTAATGGAACACAATCATGGAATGATCTTCCACTGACATAAACCTGCAGAAGGGAGGCAGAAAGACAAAGGTTAAAATCGCAATCTCATGTTGGTGGGTCATCTTTTCTTGATCTTCATTATACAGCTGATATTCCCCACTATTCAAAGAGCAACATGTATGGTTTCTGCTTCTGCACCCAATAGATCAAACCAGACCGTCTTTTCCAACATAAGTTTATTAGTCTGTTTCTCATAAGTTTATTAGTCAAATTCCCAGGGCGAAAGTGACAAGTAAGGTAAAGCAAGATCCTTGATTTATCTAAGAATTCTGCGCTGTTTTGGTGGAAGTGTGTGCAAAATTCCCAGTGCCCCACAAGCTGTAGCAAGAAGCGTGACTGACAAAGTGACGATACTGAAACTTGAGTTGCAATCAACTGCAAGAGGAGGGAGCCAGGGACAGGGAGGGAATGAGAAAAGAAGGCAGAGCAGAAGGAAAAGACAGTATTGCTGAACTCACCCCATTCCCATTGGCAAGCAAAAAAACCATGTTCAATTCAATGAGCTGAAAGTAGAATGGAAAGAGGGGGAAGGACAGAGGTCCGAAAGAAAATCCTCCCACCACGGAAGTCGAGTTGGGGTTGGTGGTGTGAGATCTCGAAATCGCTACCCACCAAATACCCTCCCTCAAAGCATAACAAACTCAGGTGCTAAAGCAAATGTCTACTAATATATATTATATATTAGTCTTAAACGAGGAAGAAAGAAAAACATATTGATAATTTTTTTTTTTTAGTATAATAAACGAGAAGAAACAGAGGGAAGGAAGCGGATGCGCACCCAGCATAAGGCAGAACCCACCACCACCAGCCACCAACAGAAACAAAACAAAATAACTCTAATCCGTACGGACGAATCCCCTGGAACCTAATCAACGAACGGACAGTCCCAGCTTCTTCTTCTTCTTCTTCCTCCTCTTTGCTTGATATGGGTGTGGAAGGCCAAGGAGGAGCTCCGCTGAGTGTTTCTCTGTTTAGAAAGTTGAGAGGGGAGAGAGAGAAGCCCCGGCAATGCGAGCTGGATCCGCCTCAACCGTTCATTCCTTGTCTCTCTATTCCGAATGCTTTTTGTTGTTGTTGTTGGCTCTGGATTTTGCTTTTGGAAGAGGCGATGAGGGGCTCTGCTGCGGACTGCGAGCTAAAGCTAACAAAGACTACAGACAGCAGGTATGCAATTGTGGACTGGACGCTGCTGCAGTGGTTCCCTCCCCTCCCAATCCCTGGTTTTGGTAGCTTTCGCTTTTTTCTCTCCTCTCCTCTCCTCTCCTCTCCTCTTTTCCTTTTCCTTTGTTTTCTTATTTAACTTTTGCTTTCTTTCTGTCAGGGTCTACTGCGGGCGGAAGATGGTGAGGCGTGGGGTCCATTATTGTTCCTTCTTTATGCTACACTGCTTTTCAGAGTCGTTTGTGGGGGTAGGAGAAGGTGGGGACGCTCCTCCCTGCTACTGCTGCTACTACTACTACCTCCTCTCTCTCCTCTCTCTTCTTTTCTGCTTCCGTGGCATCTGCGTTAGTCAAACCAATTTCAAACAATTTCTAAAATCTTCTACTCATTCTCGATGGTACGCCTTCAAACCAGCTCATTTATTCACCATCAATTATACTAGTTTTTTACCCGGTCAGTTGACAGGTGAAGTTTATTTTATTATTTATATTAGTTAACTTATCTACACGTTTGAATTTTTTGAATATTGTATATATTTTTTGCTCTCGCTTCATAAGTGAATATGTGATGTGCCTATATCAAAAAATTCTTAATATTTAATAGTTAGCACACTCGCTTGTGATGTTTTTATTCTCTGATCATTAATCATGTTGTAAAGGTTTATCACGTCCCATTTAGGATCGTATATATCAAAATTTTCACCAAGACGCTCAAATTTATTATCTTATACAACATATATCAATTCATGATTCTCGAGTTTGTACGAACTCCCAGCCAATTAATCAGAGTTCAAATTATTGGAAAAAGATACTTGATTACTAGATAAATTATGTTTATCCCAATTAAAATTTGACACACATCGTATCCCTTATAATGATTAAATTCTCTAAACCTCACTCATTTTTATTGTTGATGTTCATGAAGTCTTTGTATAACATCTTATGACAATTTTTCTATCAAGATACAAATTATTATTATCTTACAATATATATCAATTGCTAATATTTTAAGTTTGGACTAACCCTCAACCCATGCCTTTTGTCTAGATGTTCGTTTAGAGTCTAAATCCAAGGCATCCATATACACTATCGAAGATTCTCATCTTAACATGTTCCTTCAATGTATAAATTTTCAACTATTTTAATGTCCATTCGCTAAAATTTCTTTACATTTGGTGTTTGTTCTAAAATAAAATTTTACTTACTTATATTAATAATTGGTAAAGTGTGTATACGACAGACATATGTTTCAGGTGCATTCAAAATTATGTATTCCTTGAATAATTAACTTTTAATTTTTTAACAAAATATTTTGTAGCAAAATTTAAAAGTTCATACAAACATTGTGGCTTTTCCATGTATTTGAATGATTGGATGTATTGTAGACACATCTATTGTTAATATCTAAACATATATATACAAAGAGTTTATTTTACTTTCAACACTAATTAATACCTTTGAACTCAACTCCTTGGGTGGAATATGATGTCAATTTTTTTTGTTATTGCCAAAATTTGGTATGAATCACAGGCTCACAACTATATAGACTTGTTACAAATTTCATACTAAACTCATATTTACAATATTATTCTTTTGACCCAATAGCTCGGCTTACACTATTGTAACTATAAATGTTTTTTTGTTATATATGTGAAGTAAAACATTAATGTTTATTTATTACCTTAATCGTCGAATTTAGATTATTCTTAGCTTGAAATGTGATGTTTAATGTGATGTTTAACGTAGCTTGCTCAATCAACTTGACCTAGAGAAAATATTAGTAATGCGAACTTAGGATACATTATAAATAGTTAAATACTGCACATGCGATTTATATGTTTTCACTTGATGAGAATGAATAAGAAGCTTTTTTAATAAATAATTATTATTTCTTTGTCAAGTTTCTTTCAGACCTTCGACAAAATATTATTATTTTTATATGTTTGTTTAAATTATTATTAAGTTTTAGTAAAAAATGAGCAGAAATTTACATAGTAATCTTTAATCATATATTTTTTTGTTTAAAAAGTGTGATATATATGTCACTCTACGAACATTAGTACACTGTTGCGTATCGAAATGCAAAAACAAAATCTTATATATGTCACTCTCCATCATGATTGTCACGTTGGTCGGCTTGCCACCGGTTGAACCATTCAACCGACACCGGTCATGAAATCGACATGACACCATTGGTATGACCGGTATGATCGATTTACAAATTTCTAAGTAAAATACGTAGTTTTAGTGAATTTAAGTATGAGTACATGTAATTTTATTTGAAATATCATATTTTATTCAAATATCCATATGAATTGTACGTAAATTGTCTTCAAATATGGTTTTATATGATATTATGTAACTTCCTTATCAATTATAGCTATATGATTAGGGTTCTTTGTCAAAACCTTTTCCTCTCCCCTCGTTTTTTCCGCTACCTTCTTCGCCGAGGCCCTTCGCCTCCTTCTTCCTCGCCATTGTGCGACTGTTCGCCACTGCTTTCCGGCGGTTGGTGCTCCGATGCCCTCTTTTGGAGGGCTTAAATGGCCATTCAGGGTCCTGATCAAAGTTCCATCCTATCCTTTGCTGCAAAGGTTCTCCTCTGCCCAGTTTTGTTTCGCCCCTGCTTTTGCTATGGCTTCCAGATCGGCGATTTTTCTGATTCGACGGTGGCGGTGGCTGAAGATCGTGCTGAATTGTCCCTGATTGGCAAGGTTTTTGGCCCTGCTCCCAGTGTCCCCAGTATGCAGTCCTTCCTTGCCGATCTTTGGCGTTGTGAGGGCTCGCTGACCATTCTGTCTCTTATCAATGGTTTGCTTGGATTTGTCTTCTCCGACTCCTTTGATTTGGCTCGGATCCGTGATGGTTCTCCTTGGATTCAGCCTCGCTACATGATACATGTCAAATCCTGGGAGGAACCGTCTTTTGCGGCTGTGGAGTCTCTCAATCGTGTACCGCTTTGGGTGCAATTCTGGAGGGTTCCTTCTCATGGCCACACAGTGCTCATGGCCCGCTGTCTGGGCTCCGCTCTGGGCGATCTGAAGGCTGCAGCGGTTCACATCGGCAGCAACTCTGGTGGTGTCTACCTTCGCGCGAAGGTGGCCATTGATGTGACGGCTCCTCTTCCCGTCTCTGTCACTGCTTCTCATGAACTCCAGGCCAGGAATCCCTTCGAGGCTACGGTGCTCTATGAACGACTCCCTCTGTTCTGTTTTAATTGCGGTGTGATTGGTCACCCACGGAGCCGTTGTGATCGGCCTGAAGTTGTGGCTGCCGGTGACGTGCCCCCTTATGGTAAAGATTTGCTTGCTCGAGACAAGGGGCCGCGTGTCAACGAACAGAATCTCCGCCGTCGTTTGGCTCGTTTCTCCTGGAGGCGTCAGATGGAGGGTTCGGCGTTTGATCGCCGTTCTGTGGTGCTCGCTCTACCTGCGCCATTAGCTGTTGCAGTCCTGGGGGTGGAGGATTTTCAGCGTTTATCTCTGGATCCTCCGTTGGGCGTAGAGAATGGCTCTCCCTCCGCTGGTCGCGTTCATAAGAGAGGGGAGTTGGAAGAGGTAATGCTTCCTTCCAATTCCAAGTTCCAGTGTGTGGAATCTGCTGCAATTTCTGTTTTGGCTGTCAATGATCATGGGGTGGAGGACACCGGCCCAAGTCGGTCCCAATTTGATCCATGACTATTCTCTTTTGGAATTTTCGGGGTTTCGGCAAGGCCCTGGCTCGTAAGGCGCTGCTTGCCGCTGTCAATTGTCGCTCTCTAATAATTGTGTGTCTTTGCGAAACAAAGTGTCGGGATAGGAAAGTTGTTTCGCGTCTTTGTCATCTTGGTTTCCCGAATAATGACCTCGTTAGTCATGTAAATACTGCTGGGGGTTTTGTCGTTGCTTGGTCTTCGGAGATTTCCTGCACGGTTACCTCGAAGTCTCAAGCTTTTATGTTCGTAGAATGTGTCCATTCTGTTTATGGTCAATTTGTGTTGGTGTTTGTTCATCTGGATTGTAATGAGAGCACTCGTTTGGTGCAAATGAATGAAATAAAGGTTGCTCTCTCGTCGCTTGTTATTCCATTTTTAGTAATAGGTGATTTCAATTGTCTTTTGTGTTCTTCGGAAAAGCATGGTGGGAGTTTTCCTACATCGACGGTTTTAGCCCCGCTACAATCCTTCGCGACTAACCTTTCTTTACAGGACCTTGGTTTTCAAGGGCCGCCTTTCACGTGGTCTAACCATCGATCGCCTTCTAAACATATTATGGAGCGCTTGGATCACGTCTTTGCCTCTCCCCTGGCATCTTCGCTTTGGCCGGGCTTGCAGATTCTTCATCTATCTGACCTCGGTTCCGATCACAGGATGATTTTGCTGCTGTTTCATGCCTCTGCTGTCAAAACAAAGGCAAATTTTCATTTCGATTGTCGTTGGCTTTCCAATTCTGAGGCAGAGGAGATCGTGGTATCTGAATGGAGTTCGTCGTATGGTGGTACTTCGCAGTTCAAATTACGTTCCACTTTGAAATCCGCTAGGCATAGTCTTTTTCACTGGTCCTTGAAAGGAACTTCGAACTCGGCTCGGGCAATCCATGAACTCCAAGATGCTCTTCAATCGGAACGAAATAAACCTATTGTTGATTGGACGATTATCTCTGTTTTTGAGCAACAATTATCTGAAGCTTTTTTGCAGGAAGAATTGTATTGGCATCAGAAATCTCGAGTTCATTATTTAACTGAAGGAGATTCCAATACTCGCTTCTTTCATCTTACAACATTGCAGCGTAGGAGGAAGAATAGGATTTTGCTTCTTCGAGACGACGACGTGATGGCTCACTCTGATGACCTGGGCATGGGTGGTATTGCAGTTCAATTTTTTGTTCAACCTTTTCAATCTGAAGTTGTCCCTTGCTTTGATTTTGTAGCCGGTATGCTACTTCCGGGATTGGTTTTGCCATCGATGAATGCCGCCCTTATTGCTCCAGTTTCCCGGGAGGACATTCGATTGGCAACTTTCAGTGTTGGTAGACTCCAAGCCCCAGGATCTGACGGGTTTACAGGTATCTTTTTTCAGCATTATTGGAATTTAGTGGGGAATTCAGTTGTTGCAGCCTTGCAGGAATTTTTCCATACTGGGCATCTCCTCCCTAATTTCAATCACACTTGGATCTCGTTGCTTACAAAGGTCCCTGGTGCTGAAACCATGCGTCAGCTGCGGCCAATTGCTTTATGCCAGGCAGCTTACAAAATAATCTCTAAAGTTCTCACTCGTAGACTACGAGAGGTGCTTCCTTCTATCGTTGGTCCTTATCAGAACGGGTTTGTTAAAGGACGTCTTATCTCGGATAATATTTTGTTGGGTCAGGAGGTTTTACAATTTCTGAAGAACAAATCCTTGGGTAGCGATAAGTGGATGGCTTTGAAATTAGACATGGAAAAGGCTTATGACCATGTTGAGTGGAATTTTCTGTTTGCTATCATGTCTAAGTTTGGTTTCTGTCCCCAGTGGCTTGATTGGCTGTGGGCGTGTGTTTCATCAGTATCTTTCTCTGTGCTTATCAATGGCTCTCCCCATGGTTACTTTCATCCTGAGCGAGGATTGCGTCAAGGTGATCCGCTCTCTCCTTTGCTGTTTGCGCTCTATACGGAAGGTTTTTCTAGTGTTATTAATCAAGCCATTCATTCTGACTTGCTACATGGTCTGAAGGTGCATCGTCGTTGCCCTAGGATTTCTCACTTATTCTTTGCGGACGATTCTTATTAGTTCCTCCGGGCATCCCCTTTGGAATGTCATAATCTCCTTCATATTCTTAATTCTTACCAGCAGGTGAGTGGACAGAAGGTCAATCTTCAGAAATCCACTGTTACCTTTAGTAAAAATGTTTCTGCAGATGAAGCCTCTGCTATTATCTCTCTGCTTGGCGTGGCTATCAGTGGTCCCCAAGATCGTTACCTGGGACTTCCGATGCGCGTCTTGCGTTCTAAACAGGATACATTTCGTTTTGTTGAGGAAAGCCTGGTTAATCGAATTCAAGGATGGAAATCGAAGTATATGTCATTAGCGGCAAAGGAAACAGTGATTAAATCAGTGGCTTTGGCCCAACCGATTTACACGATGTCGTATTTTCGAATTCCTTTGCTTTTTTGCAGGCGTTTAAATGGGCATCTTGCTCGCTTTTGGTGGAGTCAACAGGATAGAGAGGGTGGCATGAGATGGACCTCTTGGCGTGTTTTATGTCAACATAAATCAATTGGGGGTCTGGATTTTCGTGATTTAGACTCTAATAACATTGCTTTGCTTGCCAAACAAGCTTGGAGGATTGTCCAGGATCCGGATAGCCTCTTAGCTACCACATACAAAGGCAAGTATTTTTCCAACTCCTCCTTTCTTTGTGCTACTGCAGGTTCGCGCCCTTCATGGGCATGGCAGGGTGTTCTTTTGGGCAGGGATCTTTTGGTCCAAGGACTACGTTGGTTAATTGGTTGTGGACTTTCGGTCCACATTACGAATGATGTTTGGCTTCCCACCACCCCTCCTTCTAGGCCGATTTTGCTTCCTGGGGTTGTCTTACCTGACTCATTTGTTTCTTGCCTAATAAATCATGGTCAAGGTTCTTGGAAGGAGGACGTGCTTTCTTATCTTTTTGATACTGCCAATGTACGGCTCATTGACTCGACTCTACTGTCACCCTAGGAATCGGCCAAGTGAAACCACTTCCTAAAGCGTAGTATAGCGGGTTAGGTTTATATGTCAACTCGGGTCCTAGATTTGATGACTACTCAGTGAGTTCTTGTTATCTAGCAATGAAACTGGAATGGAAGTCTAAACTACCAAAAAAACAAAGCAAGTAAACTGTTGTATTCAGGTTAAGAGAGGTCACCCGGATATGGTTCCCCCTAGTCTGCAGTTAAGCCGGATTGTAATTACCAAGTTCAGTTTCTATGATAGTTATACTGCGGAAGGTTCTTAAACAGCCTGAAGTCTCGACTAAAGGTCTTCAGACCCTCTCAATCTGAATCTCTAGCGGGCGACTAACCTCCACTGGAGTAGACAGATTGAGGCCCTAAGAACAAAACCTCCACTACCGGAGTAAATCCGGTACAGAATAGTGAGTTGGTTCCTCGACTAAAGTCACCAACTCCCTACCTTCAATCAAGGATACTCTATCAACCTAGGCAGATATTCTCATTCTAGGTTAAAGCAGAAACAACAGGAATTTGATCAGGATTCAAGTCATTCAATCAATAAAACCTCAATCGAATATAATCAATAACAGAATCAGTACTTGGGTTCATACAATCAAAGCCTAACATACAAATCTAGGGTTCTCCATACCCAGATGAATGGGAGAACTACTCCATGGAGAAGAAAGCAAAAGCAGAATCAGACACGGAATTCATACTGCGAAGGATGGATTCCTGCTTCTGGACGTTGATTGGAACTTCTCCAAGCTCAAGCTGGCCTCCAATGGTGTTGAAGATCAATCTAGGGCACTTGGGAACTCTTGCTCGTCACTTTCTCTCTCTAGAAGTCGTTCTATCTCTCAAAAACTCGAATCCTCTCGAATTGTGGCTGAAAATCTGCTTAAAAGGAGAAAATCCCGACTCACACGGCCAGGGTGGCACGGCCGTGTGGCTTACCCAGTTGCCCGTGTGAGTCAAAACGCTGCGTTCCAATTAGTTCGAATTCCAGGCTCTTTGCACGGCCAGAATGGCACGGCCGTGTGAACTTCCCTTCCTGCCCGTGTTTGCTCTCGCAGAATGTGGCACGGCCAGACTGATCACTTGCACGGCCGTGTGATTGTCTGCTCTGCCCGTGTGTGCTCTCGGCAAAACTCGCACGGCCAGGCCATTCCTTCACACGGCCGTGTGAACATCAGGGCAGCCCGTGTGACCTCTTTTGTGACTTGCCGCGTGCCCGATCTTCGCCCAATTGATCCCGAACTCGCTCCTAAACCTTCATTCACTTGCCAGGACCTGAAATATCACAAACAAGCACAACCTAGCGTGAAATCGGTCTAAAACACGAGAAATCACATCTCCAACGGTGTAAGAACAGGGGTGAAAACATGTGTAACTAACGGTCTATCACTCATCATGTCTATTCCTCTGCCAATTTTTCCTGTGGCTGACCGTTTGATTTGGCATTATGAAGTTTCAGGCGATTATTCGGTGAAATCTGGTTATCGGTTAGCTGCGGCTGAGTACATTGCTGATTTTTCCACGATTCCATCGTCCTTTGACTCTCGCTCTTGGAAGTTTCTATGGTCTATTCTTGTTCCCCCAAAGCTTAAATTTTTTCTTTGGCGCGTGGTTAAAGGTTTTCTCCCTGTTCGAGATGTGCTACGTGATAAGGAATTGATTGCTGATGATGATACTGAGGCTTACGCTTGCCCTGTCTGTGGTGGTGCGGCTGAGACTCTTGCTCATTGTTTTTTGGATTGTCGAATTGCTTTGGAGTTGTGGGATTTGTTGGGGTACAATCATATTCTTGCTCAAATTCGCTTGTGCCATGTTGCGATAGGTTGCCGTAGGATTTTTTTTTATGCAGGGTTATCCAAAGTTGAGATATCGCGGTTGGTTTTTCTGTACTGGAGGCTCTGGAAGTCCAGATGTTCGACTACTTATGATGGTATTCAGTATTTCTCCCATGTTTTATCACGACATTATTTCTCTCAGGTTGCTGAATGGGAGC